CAGCTAAAAAATGTTAAGTTTGTCTGTGAGTCTGGAGACAGGGATTTCCAGCCTCATTTCTACGATTCAGAGCCCTATGAACTTGGGAAACAACAATTCATCACTTAGCAAATATTTATTGAGCATCTCCTATGTGTTGTAAGCACTGTCGCAAGTCATATATCACAATATCACCGAGCCAAGTAGGTAGTGATCCTCTCCTCCTTTTATTCTAGTGGGGGGAGGAAGCAGCAAATATAATAAGTAAATTGGAAGATAAATATGTGTGTAGGAAAAAGAAAAGGCAGAGCATGGGCGGGGGGTACGCTTGCCATTTTAAGTTGATTGGTCAGCTCCTCATCCAGGAGCTAATGTTTAGACAGAGATTTGAAGGAGGGGAGGGAGTGAGGCATGTGGATATCTGGGGGAAAACATTCTAGGTAGAAGGATCAGCCAGTGTGACTGGGGGGTTCAGAGGACAGCAAAGAGGCCAGAGTGGCTGGGATGTCATATGGGGCCCAATAGAACACTGAATGACTGGCTTATATTCCAAGTGGGAGCCACTGCAGGGTTTTGAGGGAGGGGCAGCATGGTCTGATTTACATAGTAAGGAGATCACTTTGGCTGTTGTGTTAGGGATAGAATTGGTGGGAGGCAACAGTAGCCAGCAGTAGGCGGAAACAATGAGTAGAGGGATTCCTGCGCCAGGTGTAAGACAGACCCACCCTGGCTCACCAGACCCCAGACTCTGCTGGGGTGTGCTCATGCCTGCCCCTTGTATCTTTGGCTCAGGGTGGCAGAGGTAGGTGGATATTTTCTGAATGTAGAGCCAGAAGGATTTTCTGATGGATTGGAGGTAGGGGATGAGAGAGCCAAGAGTGACGTCAGGATTTTGGCCTGAGCAATTGAAAGGATGGAGTTTCCATGATCCGAGTGGAGGCTGCTGGTGCTTGGTTTTAACCATGGTGAGCTCGAACTGCTTATCACACATCCACAGAAATGGGAAGAAGCAGTACGTGTAGGAGTCTGGGGACACAGGTAAGTGTAGACTTAGGAACGTGCCTCACGTAGATGGTATTCGAAGCCATGAGGGGGTGAGGTGAGCGGGAGTGGTGCAAGCAGAACAGAGACCAAGGATTGGGTCCCATCCTCCTGAGCCCCCCTGCCCACTTCCCAGGGTTCTTGTCAGGGCCGTCTTCAAGCCGGAAAGCACTGGACACGTGCACAAGACGAGATGACACGGGGCTCTCTGTCAGCCCCAGGGACGGAAGGCAGGGAGGGCAGGGGCACAACGGGCACCAGGGCCAGAAAAGGGGCCCCCGATCGGGGCTTTTCTTCCTTCACTTTGAGGTAGGTGGTACCTCTGGCACTGAAGAGAGTCGTGGACCTCGGTGGGGAAAGGCTGAGAAAAACTCTGGCATCTATGGAACCGTGTTTAGATTGGGGGTCAAGTGATGGATCAGCCAGGTGTGAGAAAGAGCCAGAGTATCTGGTGGGAGGGAAGGAAGGAAAAAAGGGAGGGAGGGAATGTAGGAAGGGGGGGACGGAGAGAGAGAGAAAGGGGAAAAAACAAAGAGGAAGGACAGAGGGGGAAAAGGAGAGGGAGAGGATCTTGGATCCTCCTGCTCCGTCACTGGGAGGCTTCCTTAGCAAGAGGAAGGAGAGGTCTGGAAGCCACGGGCTCAATAGGAGACCAGTTCTCAGTGGGGAATCAGATGAGGTGTCCTTAGGTAGTCAAGGGGGTGCCACCAAACGGCCTTCGGGGTCTGTTTTTTGAGACTTTGGTTGCTGTTTATTGGAGATTTTTTAAAAAATCATTTATTTATTTATCAGAGAGAGAGAGAGAGCACGTGCACACGAGAGAGCACACAGGGTAGGGGAAGGCAGAGGGAGAGGGAGAGAATCTCAAGCAGACTCCCAGCTGAGCACAGAGCCCCACATGGGGCTCGATCTCATGACCCTGAGATCATGACCTGAGCTGAAACCAAGAGTCGAACTCTGAACCAGCTGCACCACCCAGGCGGCCCTATTGGAGATTTTTATCTTTTCACTGTCTTGAGGGCTTCAGCCTTACACCACCGATCTCTGACCCATGGCCTGTCTGTGGGGAGAGCTGGGGGGGGGGGTCACTGCAGCTCCAGGTGTCAGCAGCGGTATTCTGTGGGGTAGGGAGGACTTGTTGGTAGGGAGGACTCACGGGAAGCTCTGGAAACTCTTGGCAAGCAGCCTTAGTGGCCGCCGGCTCTTTGCACCTGCATTCCCCAGGCAGGGAGTCCGGTGTTCCCAGATCTTGAGTCTCCTGGGAGCTGCAGGTGGGTTGAAAGAAAAGACTCCCAAGGGATTGGGTCTTGTGCCCCCAGGTGGGACTAGGAGTGGAATCATCTTACCTTTTGCGAGTGAAAGCTGCTTCTGCTTCTAATGTGACTTCAGAGCCACCTCTCAAATGCCCAAGCTTAATAAAATATTTATCACCAGCAGATGGTGGCCAGAGGCAAAACAGCTGCTCTCACTTTCTTTAGAACCTTTCCGAAATCATATGGGGGAGAGAAAGTCAAAGTTCCCGACTCAACACCCCCCCTTCATCCTTGCCTTTTGTCCTCCCTGGGCTTCTTGGGCTCAGACCTCAGGGCCTTTGCACTGAATTCTCTTTACACAAGCCCCAGAGTCCTTCCCGGAGGTACCTGAGCTGCTTCTCCAGTCGTTTGCTTTAGGCATTTCTTTTTTTTTTTTTCCTGGTCTCTCCACCTTAAGGGTTTACAATTTTAGAATAAAGTGGATTGATGCCTGGACTGGGTGGGTGGTGCAGGATAAAAGGAACAGGGACTAGCATGCTGGAGCAAAGAATCTGGGATCAGTGAGTCGGGCGGGCTCTGACAGAACCCTCCCTCACTTTCATCTTGACCAGTATGTGGCTGAGCAGATGGGCAGGCCACATTCCACACTCAGGAGGACGGCAGGAGCCCCAGGCAAACAGCACGGGTCAGAGTCATTGCTCTCTCAGAGGCAGAAGCATGCGATGCTCTTGCCTGTTTTATGCCATTCCCCTGGGTGTCAGTGACTAGGCAGTCCGAGGCCCGTGGGACGCCAGGGCAACACGGCTCCTAATTAGGGTAGCGTTATAGTTGTGGAGAGAACTCTGGAGGCCCCACCTGCCTAGAGGCAGGAGCCCTTTGAACAGGCCCGGTGTTGACCTCCCTGCAGAGCTGCATTTGGGTTTGCAGACCAAGCAGGAGAGGCTGTGTTTCACATTGGCTGGAGTCATGCATGTTCCTGTGTGTGTGTGTGTGTTGGAGTGAAAGACAGACAGACAAAGAGAGAGACAGAGAGAGAGATTGGCTTTGAGAGGCAGGGGGACTAGCCAGGGAGGCACCGGTTGTAATCTTCTCAAAACATGCAAAGAAATTGTGGATTGCTAGCAGAAAGTGGGCTAGATTATTCATGATCAGATGTTGATCACCGATAATGGGGGTGGATACTGGCTAATTTCTCAACCTCGGCTTTGGGAAAGTTTTAGAAAGGTGGCAGGGGTGAGTTGTGGCTGAGATTTCCTTTAACACGTACTTTTAAAGCACCTCCTCTGTGCCTGACCCTGCCAGGCCATGTGGGATGTCAAGAAGTGCAGAAAACAGTCCCCGCCTGGAGGAACTTTCCAGCCGGTGGCAGAGTCAAGACTCACACGAATGAAACAAATTCGGGGACGAGGAAGAGAGCGGTGTCAGGAAAGTACGAGGGTTTCGAGGCCTTGGAGGGAAATGTCCCGTGCATTGGGAGCCCGGGTGGTGTCTCTGGGGTCTCAGGGCCGGGAGGAGCCACGCTGGGGGCAATTGGCCGGTTTGTATGGGGACCGCGGCACACGTGTACTCGTTATCTGAGCCGCTCCATTTGCGGGTGTGCAGCATTTGGCTGTCCAGTCGGTGACACGTGGCTGCTTAGAGCCAGCCCACTGGGGACCTCCTGCTGGGACGACTGTCAGCTGGCCGTCAGTCCTCGACAGACGGTTAGGCAACACCAGGGTCTGGTCCGTGTCTGCAGAGGGGGGGATAGCGTTCCCTACCCTTCTGACCTCAGACGGCCCTGTCACAGGAAGCATGGGATGTGGGAGCCCTCGGACGAAGCTCTGGGTAGTGCAGCAGTGCTTTCTCAATAGTGTAAAATCTCCTTAGGCGGAGAGCCGTCCGAGGCAGCACCCTTCAAGTTAGGGACACCTCTCCGGGGTCTGCCTGCCCTTTGGAATTCCTCCCGGCCCCGCCTTCTGTCTTCCTTGTGGCTCACCTGCGCTCTCCAGTCGACCCCCATCCCCCGCGCTCTTTCAGTCTAGCTGTTCCCGGAGGCCTTTCCTTACTCCTCAGGCCCAGGCCGGGCCTCCGATGCTACGATGCTACGGCTTCCAGGTGATGGAAATGCACGTGCATGTCTCCCTAGTCTAGATGGCCAGCACCATCCTCGTTCCTCAGCCCGGATCCTGACCTCCCTGTGAATGTCCCGTAGGCTCAGGGTCAACCGTGGCCTCCTCTGCGCGGTGCCAGTTGAAGGCATCCCTCTCCCTCGTCAGCTAGGCCTCTGCTCGCACCTCGGGGCCGCCCGCCACCGGGCTCCAGCATCTCGGGATGTCCGTTCCCGCCCTGTTTCCACAGCCACCCCCTTGCCCGTGCTCGCCCCAACCAGTATTTCAGACGTTTAGAATGACATATGTATTTGTTAGCAGAACTCCCCCTTGCCTGTGCCCCAAAGAAACCTTCGTTGTAACTCTAAAAATGAGATTTAAATCGAGCAGCCCTGGTGGTTGTGGCTGGTTTGTGGGCTTCTGTCTCTGTCTGCCCATCTCCTGCGGCACTCCTTCCCCGCCAGCTGCCCCCTGGGCCCCTGACAGAGGACCTCAAAGATCAGGTCATGAACACCGCACCTGCCGTCTTGGCATGGCCTCCTAGGCCATGTCCTTGTTCCTTCTTCCCCCGAGTTGTTTCTATTTTTGTTTTTTTTAAGATTTTATTTATTTGTTTGACAGAGAGAGAGAGAGACAGCACAAGCAGGGGAAGCAGCAGACAGAGGGAGAGGGAGAAGCAGGCTCCCCGCCCAACAGAGAGCCCAGGACCCTGGGATCATGACCCGAGCCAAAGGCGGACGCTTAACTAAGTCACCCAGGTGCGCCCCCCCCCCACCGAGTTGTTTCTAAAACCCAGACCTGACAAGGCTCAGAATCCCCTTAACACTTGACAGTTCACAGAATAAAGCCCGAACTCCAGCACTGTCATCAGTCTGACCCCGAACGACCTTTTCTTCCTCCCATCCTTCTGTCTCCCTCTGTGCGTGCACTGTGTGGTGTAGCCATACAGGGAGGCGTGGAATCTCCCAGCCCTGTGGGCACCTCAGAGGCTCCTGCTGTTCCCTCTGCCGGGAACACCTTTCCCCTGGCTTCTCCTGGCGACAGGCTGTGCTTCCTCAGGTCTGGGCTAGATGTCGCCTCCACAAAACCTTTCTTGAACTTCCTTCTCATCACACAGGTTGTCACTCCTTCTCTGGCTCTATGACATTCTGTTTATACTTAAAAAAAATTTAATTTCACTTATCTCATTGCACTTATAGTCACAGTAAGGGCGGGGGCAATGTCCTATTTGTTTTCAAGTCCCCAGAGAACCCTGGTGCCCCGGATACAGCAGGCATCCATTCCATGTTCGTTGAATCAACAACTGATGGAATGAATGAATGAATTTGACATTCTTGTTAAAGCCCGTGTGGCCAGGGCACTGAGGCCTCATTTGCCTCCTCTTTTGTTGACTCATCATTTTTTTTTTTAATTTTTTAATTTAAATTCAATTTAGTTTACGTAGAGTGTGTTACTAGTCTTGGAGGTAGAGTTTAGTGATTCATCGTTGCAAACAACACCCAGTGCTCATTACATCACGTGCCCTCCCCAGTGTCCATCACACAGTTACCCCTTCCCCGCACCCCCTCCCCTCCAGCAACCCTTAGTTTGTTTCCTAGGATAAAGAGTCTCTTATGGTTTGCCTCCCACTCTGTTTTTATCTTATTTTATTTTTCCTTTCCTCCCCCTCAGTTCTTCTGTTTTGTTTCTTAAATTCCACATATAAGTGAAATCATGTGGTATTTATCTTTCTCTGACTTATTTCACTTAGGATAACGCCCTCTAGCTCCATCCACATTGTTGCAAATGGCAAGATTCCATTCTTTTTGATGGCTGAGTAATATTCCTGTGTGTGTGTGTGTGTGTGTGTGTACCACACCTTCTTTATCCATTCATCTGTCGATGGACATCTGGGTTCTTTCCATAGTTTGGCTATTGTGGACATTGCTGCTCTAAACATTGGGGTGCAGGTGCCCCTTCGGATCACTACATTTGTATCTTTGGGGTAAATACCCAGTAGAGCAATTGCTGGGTTGTAGGGTAGTTCTATTTTCAACTTCTTGAGGAACCTCCGTACTGTTTCTAGAGTGGCTACACCAGCTTGCATTCCCACCAGCAGTGTAGGAGGGTTCCCCTTTCTCCACATCCTCGCCAACATCTGTTGTTTCCTGACTTGTTAATTTTAGCCATTCTGACTGGTGTGAGGTGGTATCTCACTGTGGTTTTGATTTCTATTTCCCTGATGCCGAGTGATGTTGAGCACTTTTTCATGTGTCTGTTGACCATTTGGATGTCTTCTTTGGAGTAGTGTCTGTTCATGTCTTCTGCCCATTTCTGACTGGATTCTTTGTTGGCTCATCATTCTGAAGAAGTGCTTTCTGCGTTTCTGCCTTTGCCGTGTTGGGCCTCCTACATGACAGCCGGGCGGCTGAGAGCACTGTGGCCGAGCTGTCTGGTTCCCCAGTCGTTTCCCGATCGCTCTGATCCCTTTGTCCAGTCCCAGACCCTACATGCTGCACTGCAGCTAGAGGGATTTAAGGGTCCAGTGTCTCGGTCCTCTGTCTGAGGCAGATAGTGGCCTCCTGCTGGCCTTAGCTCTAAGATCCCCTCCCCGCTTATGCTCCAGTTTTTACAAGTGGGCCCTGGCCCTCCCCAGGGCCTTTGAATGTATTGTTTCATTTGCCTGGAGCTATGTTCTTATCTTTCAACTTGAAGTTCAAGCACCCCTTCTTTACGATGCCTACCTGATGCTTTCCCCCGCTGGCTCTCAAGGCTCTCTGAACTCCCCCTCTGTAGCACGTCTCCCAGTTTTTCACCATATAGTCATCTGGTCATTCATTAATGTGATTCCCTCCCTGGGCTCTAGTGAGGTCCAAGGATGGGGATCGTGTCTGTTTTGTTCACAATTTTACGGAGCCCTGTGATTTACACGGAGTCAGCACTTCATACATATAATAATGAAGGGAACAGCCCCGGCATGACCCTGCCTGTGCAGTCCCACAGAAGCTCACCAGGGCCGGGTACAAGCAGGTCCTAAGTATGGGGCTTTGCTGCTCACCTCCTCCAGAAGCCCAAACGTGGATACCACCTTGTAGAATGTAAATCCTACAACAAACACAAGAGATGGAATGACTGAACTTCTTACTCAACATCTCACATTGTCTGCTGAAAGTATTTGGATATGCATATTCATTTCTCCACTTTCTTGTGAGGAATTTGATAGACATTCTGTTGCCATTGTGTTCTCAGTTTATTGTGCTTCCGTGAAAAATTCACCTCTTTAGGTCAATTGTCCATCACACGAGAATTTTACCCACCCCTGTTGGATTTCCTTTTTTTGTTTTCACTGCTGGGATGTGTAGTGCTAAATTTCGTGTTGAATGTAGTAAAATCACCTCTACCCAGGCGTCTGCTTGCATCTGTTCTCTGCTATTCTTAAAGTGATTTTTTAAAGTGTTCTATTGTGCTATGCTTAATAATTAGAGACCATTCAGACCTTGTTATTAGAAATATATATACTTATATATTACATTGTATATTATACAGTATATAACATTTTATTTGTATTATATGTTACATGCGTATGATGTATACATTACATATATTACATGTATTACCAAATGCTTATACCCCTTTTTTTAAACACCATAGTGACAGCAATCCGTATTCTTCATTTGGAGCAACTCTGGCAAGAGATGATGAAAAGAATTTGTGGAGCATGCCCCACGATGTGTCCCACACAGAGGCAGATGACGACAGAATCCTGTACAATTTGATAGTCGTTCGAAATCAGCAGGCCAAAGATTCAGAGGTAAGCAGATCTTGCTGTATGCTGCTGATAATGGCCAGTCCGAAATAGCAGTGACCCAGAAGGCCAGCTTGGAATAAAGAAAAAAAAGGAGAAAGGAGATATTCGGAATGAGGGCAGGTATTTTAGCAGCATGGGGTTGCTAATTATAGCTGGTCTTGGCCGACCTGCCGGATACACAGATAAGACTGACTTCCAGGTACGACCTCGAAGATGGAAGGATTATAGAAACAGCAAGGCTGTGTTGCTGACGACGGATCATCTTCCGCGACTTACCCATGCTTCTGTAATTTTTCCGGTTGCTTGGCAAGGCACAGTTAGAAGATTCAGACTGACATGGAAGGGGATTTTGCGTTACAACGAATCGTGAATTAGTGGGGCCTGAATTAGTTTTAATTATTTTTTCTGCTTCTTAAATTGTGCATGTTGATTAGATAGCAGCGTATCGTAATTTTTGTGATGAAGCATGAAATCAGTCTTTTTTTTTTGGTAGTAGCAATGTTTAAAATTACTAATTTTTCAGAGCAGTTTTAGATTTATAGAGAAATAGAGCAGAAAGAACAGCCACTACCTCCAAGGTCCACGGTTTCCCCCATTATTAACATCTTGCATTGGGGCGGGGGGGTACATTTGTTACAGACAGTATTGATACATTTAGCTAAAGTCCAGAGGTTACATCAGGGTTCACTCTTTGTAGTGTATTGTACGGGTTTTGACAAATGGATAATGACAGGGGCTGAAAACACTCTTAATGAACTCTTATCCCCAAGTTATTGGTATGGGAACACTAGAATATTGAAAAGGACAGAACTGTAGTAAGTTAAGAGAAAACGAGATCATATTTTATTTTCTCATTATAGTACTATATATAATATATTATAATATGATGGGTATCATTTTCCAAATAATAGGAACTTTTCTCAATTCTGCGTTCATCAGTGAGTTCTGAGTAGATACCTATATTAAATACAGACTTCATGTTTTACTTTGTATCTTATAGTAATTGAGAAGAATAAGGACATTGAAAACCCCAGGCTCTGGGTCTGAAGAGAGGTACCAGAGAGCGTGTATGTGTGTTGCTGGGGGCAGGTGGCCATGGGGGGGGGGTCATCTTTTCCTTATCTGGGTTTCTTTATTTTTGCTAATTAATTGCTAACTATTTTTTTCCCCAAAAAACATGCGTTAGCAGGAAGTGATAACTTTTAGAAGAGCCATGTGTCCTTTTATTCTGGTGCAGCTTGGATACGTTTAGGGGGTTAGAAGCAGGTGTGGAGATGGATCACGGGGTGGGGGCAGGGCTGACACTTGCCTCTGGTCCTTCAGGCCCGGGGAGGGGTGGACTGGAGAGTCTGCAGTGGCTATGGAGGAGAGTCCTGTCTTGGGTGTGGAGTGCTGATGAGGACGGCCTCTGCTAGACATCTGTCACAGGGTTTAACTCGGGCATAGCATCCCTCAAGTGGCCGGCTGTGTTCTTCACTGTCCCCGGCTTCCCTTGTCCCTGGCACAATTCTGTCCTCTGCTAGTAACACCGAAAGCACATCATCAAGCCCCTCCAGCCAAGTCCTGCCACCCTGGCTGCCCTTCTTGAGTATATGGACAGGAACATGTGACCTTGCTTGCCCTTGATGAGAAGAGCCACCCCTTACCCTACTAAAATGGGCTGAGCCGTGAGAGTTCCTTTCTGCCGGTGAGAATAGACCTCTTCTGACCCCACCGTGCCCAAAGCTGTTAACAGCAAGAGGGCCGCAATACATGGCTCACCCCCTTCTGTCCAGGGCCCCAAGTAACCGGGGAAGGGACCGGAAGGCATGTCTGGAGCTGAGACTGGCAGCTCTCTTTGGAGAAGAGTCTTCAATAGTCTTCACTGTTGAAAAGCCAGGGCAGGAGGTAACAGGAGCTACAGAGCTCTGTGGATAAGCACAGCTTCCCAAGGGGCCTGTTGCGCCATTTCTGCGCTGCTCTGGGGACTGTGTGAAGGGCCGTGCAGGAGGCTTTTTCTCCTCCTGGCCTCAGAAATGGACGAGCTTCACTCTAGAGGAACTCTGTAACGGAGACGGGCAATCAAATAAATAATGTGAAGATGTGATGATAATCACACGTGAAATGATTCGAAATATTTCTGCTCATGGTGCTTCCTTTTTTTTTAAGTGTAAAATATATATATATATATGCACAAAGTATGTATATTGCATAAAATAGAGACACATTTTGTATGCAATTGCATTATAAGTGTATGATTTTTTATTATTATTTTTTAAAGTTTCTTTTTTTTAAGTGTATGTATTATTATATATATTATATATGTATATATAATAGGGACACCTGGATAAAAATTTTCTCATATTTTCTTCCAAAAATTTGAAACACATATAAAAGCATATATTAATATATCTCTTCATTTCCCCCAAGTTACGTACTGTTCCTCACCTTGCTTTTTTCTACTTAATGATATATTTTATTTATTTATTTTTAAAGATTTTATTTATTTATTTGACGGAGAGAAAGCGAGAGAGGGAACACAAGCAGGGGGAGCGGGAGAGGGAGAAGCAGGCTTCCCGCGGAGCAGGGAGCCCGATGCGGGGCTCGATCCCCGGACCCTGGGATCATGACCTGAGCTGAAGGCAGACGCCCAACGACTGAGCCACCCAGGCGCCCCTAATGATATATTTTAGACATAGATCCATTTCAGGATGCTCTAGCTTTACCTCATTGCTTTGGGGAAGGGGTCTCTAGTGTTCTCTTACCTGGATTTGCTGTCATTTATTCAACCAGTCCCTGTTAACGTTTATGTTGGTTCAGGTTTTTTGAGGCACTGCTGCAGTGGATATCCACATATACTTGCGTGACCTTGGATAGATTTTTCAGGAGTAGAATTGCTGGGTCAAAGTGCATTTATTTATTTATTTATTTATTTAAAGATTTTATTTATTTGAGAGAGAGAATGAGACAGAGAGAGAGAGCACATGAGAGGGGGGAGGGTCGGAAGGAGAAGCAGACCCCCTGCCGAGCAGGGAGCCCGATGCGGGACTCGATCCCGGGACTCCAGGATCATGACCTGAGCCAAAGGCAGTCGCTTAACCAACTGAGCCACCCAGGCGCCCTCAAAGTGCATTTAAATGCTGGAATTGCCACAGCACCTCCTTCTTGGAGGAACAGAGGAGAGAGCCATGAGACTGCAGAACTGGGGAGCATTGGAAGCTTATCCTGTGCTCAAGGGGAGCAGCTGCTGAGCTCCAGACAGCTGTTTGCCATGCCGAGAACATGGATCTGGAAGTGCCAGAACTTTTGATTTTTTTCTCTAATATTTATTTATTTATTTTTATTTATTTTTATTTTTATTTTTTTTTAAAGATTTTATTTATTTATTCATGAGAGACAGAGAGCGAGACAGAGGCAGAGGGAGAAGCAGGCTCCCCATGGAGCAGGGAGCCCGATGCGGGGCTCGATCCCAGGACCCTGGGATCATGACCTGAGCCGAAGGCAGACACCCAACCGACTGAGCCACCCAGGCGCCCCAATATTTATTTATTTTAGACATCGAGAGACAGAGGGGCAGAGGTAGAGGTGCTTCAAGCAGACTCCACGCTGAGTGTGGAGCCCGACGCGGGGCTCAATCTCACTACCCTGATATCATGACCTGAGCTGAAACCAAGAGTCGGATGCTTAAAGTCCAGAGCCATCTATGCACCCATAAAACTTCTGATTTTTAAGGGAAGCTGAAAATCCCAATTTACAGATAAAATGTCCAGATTTTTATTTTTATTTATTTATATTTTTTTAAGATTTTATTATTGGCGGGGGAGAGCACAAGCAGGGGGAGTTGGAGAGGGAGAAGCAGACTCCTTGCTGTGCAGGGAGCCCGATGCTGGGCTCAATCTCAGGACCCTGGGATCATGACCTGAGCTGAAGGCAGATGCTTAACCGACTGAGCCACCCAGGTGCCCCAGATTTTTAAATGATAACTCACATTAAAAAATGTGTCAGCTAGACAAAATATGTTTATGGGCTGCAAATATATAGGGAACATTTACAACAAGGATGACTACGTATTATTATTGTTATGTTGTCTGGTATGAGTAAAAAATGAACCCACCATTGATTAAGGAGGTGTAGTTGGGAAGCCAGTTGGGTTGTGTTTTAAGTTTGAAGGAGTTCCTTGTTTATTACTGTTGCTTATTTTCTTTTTCACAAAGGATGAAACCAGTACAAATGTTAATGAAACAGAGCATTTTAGTTTTGAAAGAAATTCTACCTACTGAGGTACAAGAACCCTAGATATTCTTGTATGATATAATTTAGAAGCTCAGCAAGGTATTAAGGAAAACCAGGCATTATGGTTTTCCTTGAGTAGCAATAGCATGCTGGGGATGTCCATATTTGTAATTCCCTGAAAAATGAAAAATAATTTCAGAAGTGTGTATACTACGTCCATTCCCCTAGTAGAGGAAACACTGCGAATATTACTAAATTTGCACTGTTTCCCCAAAATGAAAAAAAAGAATCAGAAAAGCGGTATATACAGAACAAATAATGAAGCAGAGCCTGAACTTAAAGTTACTTGCAGTGACAGAAGATGTAAAATGTGACATTATTGAAATCGAATAGGATGCACTTTCATTTGCAAAAGCTTCAAAAGCTAATTGAAAACAGACTTTCAGTAGAAGAAATAATGCATCTGCAGACCTCCAAGCGGTGGAAAACTTACTGCTCTTGTCTTCGAATGATGCTGTAAAATACTTTATGTTTGAGAAATAGTGAACAACTTCAAAATTGCGCCCCTGAATCAGGATCGTTATGTTCATTCCCATTAAGCGAATTGTACTTCACATAATCCAGTCTGTTCTAAGGAGCTTACAGTGGTTTATGAGATATCAACGCCTCCTAATTATTTACTTGCATGCCTAATTTTAATCATACTGAGCTATCTTGTTCTCCAAGATATCAATAATAATGAAAAGAGTGCCAGGCACTGTTCACCCACATTGCACATATTAACTATGTCT